CAAACGTTGGATAGTTTCAAAGGCTCCGACTCCCGCGGTACTCCTACATAAAAATTGATCGGCACTCAAGGTGTTAAGTGCACTTAATTATAGGTCTCTGCGTCGAGATGATGGAGAGTTTGCGATACTTTATCAATGTAGTGACTCTTTACGAAAGAGTCAGTTCAGCGATGCGAACTGATAACTGGATCTCCGTGGCCCCGTTCAAGGCCGGTCCTCGTTACGGTACCGGCGCGCGTTCGACTCCGATTTCCTCCCGCGCGACTTCGCGTCGCGACGACGACGATCCGCTCGCGCGTATGTGTGTCGTGCGTGAGTGCGATACGGTTTCTCGATACAGGCACTCGAAAAGGACGCGCAAGGTGCACGTCTCCACTCGAGATCGCGTGCGAGGATAAAACGTTCGCGCCGAAAGAACGACGCGATAAAAATGACGTGTCCGCTTCGATATCAATTTATTTGACGCCGCCGATGATCGAGCACGTTTCGTCGTAAGTGTAACTTCGCAGAAACGGTACATTTAATAATAAGCGACGAGAGAGGGTTTATTGATACCCTGCAATTTAAACGATCAGGTTGTTCAAATGATCGCTGTTCGATGTTATGCGGACCTTATCTTTGCTAACTCAGTAAACGATATAGGAATAACCGCAACCGAAAGAGACCGATAAGATAACAACGGGAGATGAATAATCATGCAAAGATGAGGTACAAAAGCATGCTCCGAGTGTGTATATTAAAAACAATTATATATGTTACATATATAATTTATACAGAATAACTAATTCGTTATCTTATATATTTTATTGCTGTTTTGACCAGATTATCGAGTTTACGATACTTTTATCGTATTCCTGCAAATCAAGCGGAGCTTTTAAATCATATTACTCGTCGTTCACTTATTTGTTCGACAAGCGTTGACATTATTATTATGAAGAAGTGTGACATCGCCGATAGGAGCACGGTTATTTTTTCACGATATAATGATAATCATTGATAATAGTGACGTTTACACGATTTCGTGACTTATATTAAATCAGTATCGATAAATAATTAACAATCGCCGCGTTTAATCTGAAGAAACGATTTCATAACACGATTTAAAAAATGAGCAATTATCGGCTGTGAAGTTTTACGAATAATTCGATTATTTTCGTGAATTAACGACGTTCGTCTTTGCTCTACGATCGTCAGGCCCTTGGCATTAAATGCTTTCGGGGAAATCGCAATTCTCTCAAGTGACATACATTTTTGGATCAAACTCCTTTTCTCTTTTTTTTTTTACTCTCGCGACATTTCAGTCTCGCACCATCCACCTTGGGATCTCGTAATTGAAAACCGTAGCACGTATTTTCGAACGTGAAGCAAATTCGGGTTAAGGTCTCGACTGACTGGTCGTTCGTCGATTGGCTTGTTTCGAGAAGCAGCACTTAAATAAAAAATGGACCAAAGCTTATCGTGCCGCTTGGGTCGAATTAATAATAATTGCATTTTTGAAACGAAAGTTCTAAAAAAACTTATTCCAACATCAAATTAAACTGTCACACGAATATTTAATTCGTGTTATATATTATTACATACGTTATACTATGCATGTTAAATTATATTATAATATTAAAATAACTTATAAATGTTTTATTTCTGATTAATATAACGGAAAGAAAAATTTTATTCTAAAATTTTACTAAAAATTTAACTAGATAATTTTGTTGGACCATCAAAATATAATTACGTAGGAAACTCAAACATGATGAGCGAAGCTGAAAAAATTTCTATATTCTAGCAATTAGCGTGAATCTTCATAATCATTTCGATGGTCCGAATTATCTTCTGAGCTGCACCTAGTTAAATTTTTAGAAACTCCAGTAAAACCATTCTTTCTGTGTACTAACAATATTTATAAAGAACTTCACTTTCCAAATTTTAACAAAATATGTGCTTTCGTTATTCTCAAACATCACTCGAAAATGTTATCTTTACTCTCCTATATTTTACCGCTCCCTTTTTGTAAAAATATCGATCTCGTTTTTCTTCTTGTATTCCTTCTTTTTTAATTTTTTCTATAATACCTTTGTCTCTTTTTTTATTTTCAATATTGTTATTTTCCTATATCTTATCGGTCAAAAATGTAAACCTACAGAGAATACAACTTTCTTATCGTAAAAATTTTAAAACCTTTTATAATCTTTAAAAGAACGTGGTGTCTTTTAAAAGATTTAAGATTAAAAAATTTTAAGCAGATGCGTTGGCGGGTACCAAACAAAGCCCGATGAGAATTACAGAAGGCGCCAGCCACCATGTGAAATATTTGTCTTCAATTAAGATAAGATTGGCAACCTCCTTCGGTGAACTCCTTCCGTTGCGTTCAAAATGTTAATTCGGCATTGATTTCGTCATATCTGTGTTATCGCACGTTACGTGTGTTCGGTGTTTAAGAGACACAGTCTGGCCGATCGTATCTATATCTCGGTTTGTCTACACATGGCAAAGGTGTCGGACGAGATGATGCGAGAAAGGACGTCGGCTTGGCTCGCGTGTTCATGGCTTCCGCCAGTTGTCACGCACGCACACGAGAGATTGTCAACGTCGAGAATACACATTCGTGTGCAGTCGTGCCTACGCACTGCATGCGTACATGCACGACACTGTACACGCGATATTTAAGAGAAAAGGACAGAGAGAGAGAGAGAGAGAGAGAGAGAAGGGAGAGAGAAAGAGCCGTAACGAGCTTTCGTCGAGCGTCTCTCACATGGTTGGCCACGACGATCCAAAGAGAAAGTTTCTTTCGTCGTGACGTCTAGCACGACGATTAAGCGACTACCAAAGAATGCATTTAATGGTCTACGTGTCTGCTGTGCTTGGAAGCAGAATGCTACTTTTATACTCATTTTAATTAGTCTGTTGAATATCTCGGATTTTATTGCAGATGGTCACCGTTATCTTCGTGCTAGAAAGTATCGTGAGATTTTTTTTTATTACAGTGGATATAATAAAGTAATAAATAAGTATTAATTGGTACAGATATTAGAGATATCAAAGATATATCGAATGACGATTATCGATAAGCTTCAATGGCTTCAATGTGCAGTGTTTCGCACTTTCTTTGATTCTATATTAAGCAGAACTCTGATTCATCAAGAGCGATTCACCACAATTCACCTCTTTTCTCAAAAAAATAAAAAAATAATAATAAATTGTTAATAATGTAAATATTATATATATGATTAGTTATTTAATCAATAATTTTAATACTAATGCAAGTATATTAGCACATTAATTTTATATTAATTATATTAATTTGTATCTCTAAATAAATTAATATCAATATTTACTATTTTAAAGGTGATTAATACTCAATCAATTCATACCTGCGAAACGGTTAATTTATAATAATAATTTATAATTTCCACTCGTTTGTAATTACAAAAAATTGCGTTTCTAAATTACGGTAAATAATTAAGAAATATACATATATATATATTATTAAAAGAAACGGTATAACTTGCTCAATTTTAACATCCTTGACTCTAATCTCCAAACTATTCTTTTTAACAATAATTGTCATGATAAAAAATATCGTATGACTATTTAGATGAACGAGAGATATCGCTTTCCTATTCCACATAACCATCTTCACCTGCACTTATTATCCTCCCATTGTGGGGATGTACCTGACATAATTTTCATTCGAGGTCAAGATGCCGACGATCGTGTTTTATGTGGTTAAGCCAATCGCGCACGTGTTGACATCGTCATTTTCGTTTTCGCGCGCGCGCGCGCGACCTTACGTTACTATACTAAAAATACACCCGACGACGCGACCAACGGCGTTTAAAAATAGAGGAGAGCAACAATACCATCCCACGCCGAAAGAAAAAGAGATAATAATTCGCAGACGGCTCCCACGGTTCGAGGTGACATCGAAATAACAATAGTTCGATGACTATTCCACGTTCCCGCGTCCGACGTTGGGAGCGTAACGTTGTGTTGGTAGATTACAAAGGATGCAGTCCGCTAAAGTGGCTCAATTTGAATCAATTAATACTAGACCAATTAAATACTAATCTCGTGATCTCCGGTTGAGAATTAATGACAGCTGAATTCCAAGGGTCTTCAAAATACAAATAAGACACGTAAGCTCGATTAAACGTCGGATTGTGGAACGGTTGATTATTGGTGACTTTCCTCCTTACGGGACAGTTTAATCGGCGCGATTCGCGCGTTCGTCACGCCAATTTTACCACGGAAAGGATGATTTTGCTAGATTATCTAAACGCTTAGCTGGATACAGTCTGAAAATAATTTTACTCTACCATCAAAATAATATATTATTATGTGTGTAGACTGAAAAAATTTACTAAAAAAAATATTTTAAGACACACCTATATTTCTTTGAATGTAAACATTTACTTATAGTAAATATTCAGTCAACAAAAAAATGGTAGTTAAATAAAATTATTTATTTCTATATCAGAGATAAATACATGTTTACATTTAGTAAATATATTTATTAAAATTGTTTTTTTTATTTGTGTTTTTTAATCAAAAAAATTTTGATTTTCTAGCAACCAGTTTAAGCACTCTACATAATTATTTAAACAACTAAACAAAATTATTTCATTTTCAATTAATAGAAACAATTCTATCTTTAATAATCAAGCAGATCTTAGTACTTGATAATACAAAATGCAAATCTCTCCACAAATATATTATTTCAGTTTTATAAACTGCGCGCCGATAAGGTTTATCAGATTTGAAAGCACAATCGCAAATTAAAGCTGAAATTAATATTTCAGGATAAATTAAACGTCAATTTTAATAGTAGAGCTAATAAATCATCTTAAGAACCTTATTTCCCGTAAATAATTCAAAGTTACTTTCAGATCTGTATCTAGCTAAATTTTTAGCCTCAACGAAACTCTCTTCTTTCCGTGTGGCGAGGAGAAGAAGAAAAAGACGACGAAGAGGAGACGAAGAAGATGAAGAGGAGACGCGCTCACCTTTATGATCTTGTATTTTTTCTTGGTTGCCTGATTGAGATCCTCGTGCACCTTGTCGAGCAGCCAGAGGAGGAACTCCTGGGCGTCGTGCTGCAAATTGCCGCGGTACTGGCTACCGTATTTGTCGACGACGCTCTTGAACGCGGTGCTCATTTCCGGATCGTACTGGCAGCTCCAGATCGCCTTGAGGAGCAGCGCGAGCTGTTCCGTGATCTCGCCTTTGGTGCCGTACTTTTTCGAGTTGAGCTTGTTGCGGCGCGATAGGTCGACCTTGTACTGGTCCAGGACGAAGTATTCGGCGAGAATGTCAGTGTGCGAGAGGCACTGCAGCACGGCGTTCATGAAGCACGTGTTACCGTGATTGCGTAGGCCTATGACACCCGGTACACGATCCGGCGGGATGTGCGCCGGCCGCGGCGGCGGCACCCTGATGTCACCCGCGCTCGAGCCGAGGTCGTCGCTGCCGCCGCCGCCGCCGCCGCCGCCACCGCCGCCACCACTGCACCGTTGATGATGGATCATCGCGGCGGACTTGTGGCTCTGGGTGCCGACGTTTGACATGTGCCGCACCATCTTGTTGATGAACTTCTTCCAGGAGGGCCGGCGAAACACCTTCTTGCCGCACGGTCGCTCCTGGGAATCCTGATTGCCGGTCTGCTGACCGCCATGCAGTCTCCCCGTTGCGTTGTTCTGTCGTTGCTGCTGCTGAGACGGCGGCTGCACGCCGTCCCGAGCGTTGTTCCTGGCGTTCTCCTTGGCGCTTGGCGCGCCGTTGTTAGCGTCTCTCGAGTCCCCATGGGTCTGCTGTTGCTGCTTCGGACGTCGCCGCGACATCCTGCTGCTGGCACTTTGAAACGGGTTTCTCGGCAGTGTAAAGGTGCGCTTGAGCCGTGTGGCGCCGCGCGGTTCCGCGGATTTAACCTCTTCCTCCACGCCCAGCTCGCCCTCGGACACCGATTTCATCACCGACGTGCCGCGATCGGTTCTCGCGGCTTTCATCGCCAGCCGCACCTCGCTGGCTGGCTGGCTGGCTGGCTGGATCCTCGCTGGCTGACTGCAGCGCGTGCAAATCTTCTCGGCGTGTAGGCGGTCGGGATCGGCCGTCAACGAAGCCTCACATCACGTCCCGGGTGTCGATGTTACCTCGGCCGCGACGTGGACGAGGCTGACAACGGCGACAACGACGATAACGACGACGTTGCCGCAGGACGTTGACGCGGTCGACGCAGGAAGCCGCGTGGCGTACGCGACAACCGCACGCGCCTACGCGGAACCGCAATCGCAGCCGAACGCAGTCGGACGTCACGCAACACCACGCACCGCCTCGGAAACTGCACCACCGCGGCCATCGGCGGCCATTTGCCGCGCGTATCACGGGCTTCCACGATTTCACACGACGCCTCGGCCATAGACCATCGTCGATCGTCGGCCGCTGGCGACATCGGTGACCGGTCGGGGAGATACGCGACCACCGTGACATCTTCACGTCAATTCGAAAGTGACGTGACTAATTGAATTATCGTCAGTCCGTAAAATAGGAACGACAATGCGCGAGCTTTATTATTTTTTTTTTTTAATAATTTACAGTTTGTTATTAGTAATATTTGTAGAAAAAACTATTTAAAATTAGTAAAAAATATCCGTCATTTAAAAAATAGGCTAAGTTTTGCATGATAATCGTATATACACATACATGTTGTATTTATTAGTTTTTAAAATAATTTTTTAAAGCTCAAAAATTATCGTTGATGTTCAAAAGAAAAAGTAATTCAAAATAATTGAAAAAATTTTTGTAAGAAATAAAATGACAAAATAAAGTGTTACATAATAATTAATCACTTATTTAATAAAATATATGTATATAATATATGCGATTTTATTTTACATAATTTATTTGTAATTATTGCATAATATTTTTATTATTCTACTTAACTACTGCCTATTTGACAAAAAACGGAGAAAATGTGCGTTTTGCTGAGATCACAATGATTTATTATGAAAGATCTCAACAACCATAATATATTTTCTTATCAACTTTTGTATATAACTTTTGTAACTACGGATATACCTTAATTATTAAACATGCAAAGCTTGATTTAAAGCTTATCTCTCTCAAGTCGGTCATCTCTCGTGAGAGAATCGTGTTGACCTTTTCTACATATATTATATATATATCCACTAATATACAGTCATTTTTTACTCAAGCAGAACACAAGTCACCAGCTTGACAGCAAAATGATGACAAAATAGCTCCACAGTGATTACTAAAAAATGTCATCTTTCAATCATTTACAATTTATTTTAACGTCACTTTCACGTTTTAGTTATTTGTGATGTTCTGCTTCACTGGTGAGAATAAAAAAATTGGAGCGTAAGTCAAATATAAGGAAAAAGTGACAGAAGCACAAACAATGTTTCTATAGGAGGCAACAATTGGAACGATAACAAAATGTGTAAAGAGATGTTTACACTTTATTTTACATTTTATTGTTCCAATTTTTGTTTCCTACGGAATCTTATGCTCCAATTTTTATTTTTGTCATATCTTTACTTAAAGCTTGTAATTATTATTAATTTGTCATTACTAAATAATTAAAAATAATTATTTAGTAAGAGTTTTATGTAATAACTATTAATAGAAGACGTTAAAAATTTGATAAATATTTTAATTTTTATTTTAATTTAATTTGCAATCGCATAATTGATTCGAAAAAGTCGATTGATTATTAAAGATCTCTACAACTGCAACATATTTTTTATCAATTTTTGGTTATAGACTCCTTTATTAAACAAGCTTGATTTAAAGTTTAAGAACAACATTAAAGTTTCAATATAAGCTTTAATGTTGTTTATTTATTGATTTTAAAATTTCGTTTATTTAACTGCGCTTCTATTATTGCAATAAATAAAATGAGAATTAAGTGTTAGTTATTTATCAATTGGCAAAGATTTGCGAGTGGGTTGCTTTTTTAATTGGATACGATTAAAAAGTCATTGTCAGCAATCGACAATTTCCTCGCTGACGATGCGTTTCGGCGAAAACGATATCGTTTAATCAAAGTCCTGCAGTATCCGTTTTTCTATCGTCATTTTCATTATGATGAATTCAGAAAAAACTTGCTTTATTCTTCGAATTAGTGTTTTTTACCTCCTTTCAACTGATGTCTCACACTCCTGGAATTTAACGTCTTTGAACATATCGGATAACGTTCTAATATGGAGATTTACTGTGTGGAAAAATCGCGCTTTTCTGGCAATTCCCAGGTAGGCAAATAATGACAATAAACTATGAGTAAGAATCCTCAATCCGTGTTATTTAAACATGTAAAAAATATCAAGTATGTAATAATTTATTAATTTTAAAATAATCCTATGTTAATATTAATTTTTCAATATTTTGAACAGCCGAAAAAAAATTTATAATTTAATATTTCTTTTATTTATAAAAAATATAAATCTATTATTTTTTCACTCTCGATTTCTTATTTAAAATGGTAATCAGTTGCACACACAACGCGTGTAAAGTACATAATATATATAAAACATTGATAAACACGATTTATTGCGTGTATAATGTAAATTTATTTTAAACAAAGTTAAAAAATTTGTTTTCTTTCAATAAATAAACATTTACATTTTTATTACAATGATTATATATCAGATCGGCAAGTAAAAAGCAAGAAGAATGGAAACCAACTCTGGTAGAAGTTTCTTGGCCTGAAATTAATTTGCCATTAAACGTTGCGAATGCGATAATCTCCCCAAAGCCTTTCCCTAAAAGCGGATCGTCAAAGCGGGATTATGAAACTCTCATATCCGTAACTGGATTAGACGTGGATGCTCGAGGACGATTATGGGTTCTAGATACACCCAATGGATATGATCGTTGGCCTCGTATCATCATTTACGACTTGAAACGAAACGATCGATTGGTATAATATCTATTAAATTTTTCTCTTAATCTTAGAAATATAATATATACGTTAATTAATTTGTGAAGTGAAAATTTCGAGCATCAGCACTCTTATAAATTTCTTCTTATTTTAATTTAACATTTGTATTTCGCAATTTAATAAATACAATAGAATTAAATTTTTATTTTCTTTTATGCTGCACAATGTTTGACAGTTTGCGCGGAAAAAAATTCATCTAGAAATATTTTTATATATTTAACAATGTTTTCTGTATTTCTAAAAATATTTAACCAGATATATGTAAAAAATCTGACTTGTATGTCCGTATGAAAAATAAAATTAATTCTAAAAGATATTAAGCAAATTCATATTTTTTAATTGATACATTCTTTACAAAAATTCTATTTAACATACATATATTGTACATATTGTTTATACTTTTAGAGAACTACAATTCGATCTTAAAATTTACCTCAATGAAGTTTAAAATCAAAATAACAACGAATAATGTCAGATTACTACCTGGATAACAAATTAAAGCGCGTATTTATAAAAATAAATCTTTTTCTCGAACTATATTATAGATTTTGTTTTCAAAGAATAAATATTTGGGTAATTAATTTCATTTATTTAAACTGATGTTTATAGGTATCGTTTACCGAGTTGACCAAAGTGTCTTCAAAATATTTAAAGTCTCTCGTAATTGGTCCGTTTGAAGATCAATGGGGATTTCGTGGATATATTGCAGATGCCGGTGACGAAACAATCATTGTTTACAGTTTGGGTAATTTACATACTTATACGTTCTTCGAACGTTTATACAGTATTATTCTCTTTTTATTATGTCGATTGCGATACGAATTTCAGGATTACGCAAATGGTGGAAACTGAGAATGTCGCACGGACCCGAAATTCCTCGTGTGCAATCTACCGACCTTGCTGTTTCTCGGATGAATTCAATTTTATATATGACAGGACATAATTCGCACGATCTGTTTAGCATCAATCTGGATAGGATTCGTACAGATAAATTATTACGTACATCTTCACGCGTACGTATTAGGTCAACATTTTTTTTATGTTATTTTCTATATTGATTTATTTACGTATCTGCAATAAATTGGCAATTTTTTATATAAATTTCAAAGAAATAAAGATACAGACGGATGTGATTTCTTCGTTATTTGTATTTTTGAAGATAACCTTTGAGACGTTAATTTTTTATTTAAACCGCTTATATTGCTTCAGGAAGTACAAAATGTAACAGTGACCTGGCTTGGAAAGAAATTAGGCTCTTCCGTAGGACTGTTCAGCGATTTAAAAGATGGCCTACACTATTTTATGACTTCAGAGAGAGCCAGCGTGCGATGGGACACTAAGCTTCCTTTGAACGTAAATTATTTAATTCAATCCCCTTTAAAAGCCATATTGTGAATAATTGATTGATCTGTCCTTTCAGGCGCAGAGTCATTCGGTTCTGGTACAAAACGATGACGTCCCGTGTATAACCGATTATATAATGGATGCACGAAAGAACGTATGGGGTCTGGTAAATTCGAAATGTCCCGGTGCAACGAAAGAAGAAACTTCGAGCAATTCAACACTTAAATCTAGAACAATTAAAATCCAAAAATACTCTTTTGCAATGCAATAATCATATTTTTAATTTTAATAAAACACGATGAAAATTTCTTTAAAGAGTTACGCCTATTTTAATTTTTTGGATGATCTGAAGATAATTTTCTTGTGAATGTCATTATTTCTAATCAATATTTCATTATTTATCGCATATTTCCGATCAGTATTTATATTAAAATTTTTTAACTAAAACCCAAAATTGATTTAAAAAATCTAATTTCATCATCTAGTTTCTCCTAAAGATTGATTTGCCATATGATTCTTATATTTAACTGCTAATTACTTAAAGAGAGTAGCAAATGTAACCACATTTTATGATTCAAGACAGTTTTCCATTACAAACTGGCAATAAAGAATGAATCCCCATGATGAAGAGAAATTAAGTCCGATAATTTTAAGACGCCTTTACAAAAAATAAACTAATGGCTATGTATACAAGAATTACATAAATTAGCACTCTCCGTATTATGTATACGTTTACATAAGCTGGTATTTATTAGTAGTTTAGTTTGACTTAACAATTACAGATATTACATATTTCATTAATAAATCAGTTTCTTCGATCGTTGAACAGGTGAATAATTACAAGGTTTTGAAAATTCAGCAGCTATATGCTGATCGACTTTAAACATCGACAAGTAATTTTTACACTGGTCAACTCGTCTAAATACGTGGACTCTCTATCGGTTACAGTTACATTAATTATGTCAAACAACATTGTCAATTTGTTAATTATTATACATATCTATACGACTCAAAATAATGTTCCAGCACTTACATTAATTAACATAACATGCGCAAATTAAACTTACTACCTACGAGGAATCCAGGCGCAAGATGTGCCGGTTACGTGACTAGATCAGCGACAAAATGGAACTTGATCTCTTCTTATCTTTTTGTGATTTACAATTAGATCATGTTCCGAAATACACTGACAGTAGTGAAAATTTATGCTACATATATACTAGAGATGATATATATAACAGAGTCTGGTTACGATCGATTTTGTCAAAATCCTACGAGAGAGAAAAATGTATGTAATGTTTCATGTGGAGAGAAATTATATGTACTTTTTTCTCTATAGAATTTTAACAAAATCGCTAGCTTTGATACATGTTGAGTTTCTAACGTATACTATACGCAGATTTTTTCAATACTGGCAGTATATTGGAACACAGCCGTAAGCGAAACGTTATGTATATTTTGGTAATCATCTTTTTACCGCGAAAGATTTGATTATTTCTTCGACTTAAGCAGTTGTAATTAAAATCAATAGAATTAATTTTACTGAATTCATTTCGATACCGTAAATAATGGAAAAATGTACCTTACGCTAATCGTCGTATCTTCATTGCCACTCTATAGACATTATTTCCATGTATCTAATGCATCGAAATACGAAATATTTTTTAAAATACTGATTTCAATTTCCTTACGTGAGACAACGAATTATATAATGGACGGTTGCTCTGTAATTTTGTTTTAATGAATGGTTCCTAGTCATCGCAAGACTTGACTACAGGATGAATTGCCACGGAGGCACCCGAGCTGCTCACGGTGTTCTGTATATAATCTTGGAAGTTACTCTCGATTACCCACATCAATCTCTTGCTGGAAGGAACCACTTGAGTTGGCAATCGGCAATCGTTGCCCTTCTGTACTAAAAGGAAGTTCTCTGGTATGAAGGGTGTCTCGGTGTTCCACATATAGACATCGGTTTCGCCTGAAAATAAATAAATTATTCTTCTCAATTAGACGCTAAAAAATGGTAAATAATGTGAAGAGCAATTTATTAATGAAAGCAATTGTCGCAATTATTTTTTAAACTATGTCTCTGTCGCGTAAACCTTATTTTGAGAAACGCAGAGAAGATCTATATAAGACTATTCAATTATTTTTTTTTATGTTTATTTTAATTTATACGGCTTTACAAAAAAAATCTACGATACCGAAACAAAGATTAATGCGCGCTAAATAGAAAACGCAAACTTACCCTTCTTCCTGAAGAAAAGAGCGCAGCCATTGTCGTTTCCGAGAAGAACGATCTTGCTTTGCTTCAACCCAATATCCACAACTGATCCTTGAGAGAGACCACGTCTCAGGTTCTCAGCCTTGATCGCGAAGAGCCTGTTGGAGCCTAGATAAGTGAAATACAACACTGGCGTACCACAGCTCTTCTTCACCAGTGTTGAGAAGAGAACGTCTCTCCGTTGGACACCGGTGGTAACTGCGTTCGGAAGGATCACTCGGAATCCTTTATCCGCGATGACATTGTAAACGATAATGGCTCTAGAGGCTGCGTCAGTCACGTACGCGAATACCTGTCCGTCGTCCGCGTAGTCGATCGTCAGATATTGCAGACGAGACACATCGTTCACCAAGTGGCTCAAATCGATCACCTTCACGACCTGCGGGACATCGTGTCTCAACATGAATCATTTTTTACAGACCAATATGTTTCTACCTACTCCAATACATCATAAATTTTTAATAAAAGACTGATGTAAAATATTTGTGATTTTGACAAAATTATTGAAATCAGAGTTATATATAATTTATATCTATAAAGAGAATTTTCTGTTTCTCACATCAAGGCCTAAAATTTATTTACTAATATTAGAAGATTTTTGTCACTAAATATATATATATATATATGTTTCCTTTTTTACCAATTAAAATTACTTAAAAGTCACGAATTATAATCAAGGCTCCGTAAAGACAAATGTCTACGTAGCTCCTTTTCAATTAGAAACAATAATTATTATTATTAAATTTAGCTCGATTTAGACTGTTGCATTGCAAAAAACGTGCGAAATTTATTAATAATTATTGTGTAATTATAAAATTATATAATAAGTGAATTACAAACTCTCTCTCTTGTGTGAGTATTTCAATGTTATTAATCATTAATTTCTCGTACCTTGCCGGATTTCACATCAATCCCGACGACTTTGGGAGGACACCTGCGCACCGGTTGCTCCAAAGTGTTTACGATACCAACGTCCAATACCCACAAGATCTCTTGAATGTCCAGTGCTATGTCTACTACGTTCTGCAGGGCTTTGCAGTTGCCTTCTTCTTGGATCGCCCAACAAGGGAACGCTATCACCTTCGGGGTGCAATCCTTCTTCTTCAACGACATGACACCCAGGGTGAATGGTACACCCGGCTTGTAACGTGGCATCGCTACGATTGCATCGTCTTTGTAAATCTGCGCTCTCGTGGCAATAACATTTCTGGGTAGGTAGCGTCCGCTCGTCTCGTAGATGTTCTTCGTGTCCTCGCTTGGCCATTCCAAGCTGTAGCCCGATAGGACGAACGACAGCTCCGGCAACAACTGCTTGTCGCACACTACCAGCGATAATCCATTCGCCAGAATTATCAGGCACAGAGCGCTCGTCGGGATTCTCATCCTGCGCTCGTTTTTTATGACTTGTTGTAATAATGTCTTGGTGACCTAGAAATACATAATAACAATTGTAGTTGTTAAATTACTGCACTGGAAATAATATCCTACAGATATAAACTTCTGAAACTTTATGCTCCAAATGGTAGTTAATAAAGTTAACAAAAAATGTAAAAATTAAATTTAATATAAAAATTTTGAAAAATAAATACATGTAGAACGTATGTGTTTCTTAAATTATACAAATTTAAATTTGTATTATAATTTTTAGAGCGTTAAAAATATGTGATTAAGCTGTATATAGTGAATATTGATACACACACACGCACGCACGCACGTACACACACATATATGTAATATTTAAATAGAGATTTCATAAGTACTGATGAAATAAACAAAGTTAGATCAATTGCTCTCTATGCGAAGTAACAATATAAATCAGTTGTGTTAAATGTGCGGCGAGAAAGATGTAAAAACTTACAAGATTTCCCGTACAATCAGAGGCGAAAATTTTTGAATATGTGAATCATTTATACAGCTTTATACTTATATATACGTCGATTGTGAACCAACTAAAATCGTTTACATTTTTATCATATACTACTGTTTCTTTCTACCCAATATTTTTGCAACGACTTTCTTGCTCAAGTTTGACAGAATTCGTAAAGAGGAAATATCTCGTGATATGCTTTCTTGAATGTATTTACAAATAACGACGAATTCAGGAAGACATAAAAAGCGGCGTACATTAAAACGCGGTAAACAAGGAAATGCAATGTATAAGGAAATTATCTCGTTTGTTTTTATTAATAATTTATTACACTTCCGCTCCTAAACAAACGTTTCTAATACAATCGTTTAATTTCTTCTTTTTATCCTTAATCATTTATAATATCTTATTTTGTCATTTTTTGTAATTGTTCTCAAATTAATTTTTATAAGAATTAATATAGAGTTATATTTCATATATTTATTGTACTCTGTTATAATTAAACTTTTTATATACTACGTTATTTATTTTATATATTTTATTTAATTAAATAAATTTATTCAACATGTTACTTGTACTATTATTTTCAAATTAAAAGTGTAAAAAAATGTAAATGTCTAGAAATTTTTTTCATACTTTCTATACCTTTCACATTCTTTTATATTTGAAACATTATTGAATTTATTTTTTCAGTATTCCCTTCTTATCTTTATTTTTATAATTACAACACATTACACTTATCATATATAAAACTTTCTTTGACGTTATTCAAATTTTTAATCTTTGTTATTTTTACTTAACTGCGAAAGGAAATATTTTTGTACTCCGAAGTGCAATTTTTCTGTTATTTTTATGTCAATATTGCCAGGCTTTACATAAAACTTACAAATAAGATATAATAACCAGAACAGGAATTAAAAATAAAAATACTTCACTGAATTTCATTAAGAGGCACTTGCAAAATCAAAATTAATAGAAAAATCGCACTGTCCCTAATATTTTGGCAACCCACTGTAATTTAGCAAAAGAAAAATAGAATCCAATATCATTAGATCATCATACAATCTTAACGTATCAATTTACTATATTTTTTATTTACAATAAATTTATTGTATGTATTTATAG